ATCCTCCATGTTGGGATAATGAAAACCGATCGAAAAGAAAGGTTCACAAACCCCCTAAGGTATAAACATTTGAGAGAGATTGGTAGACAAAGTTTTCTTTCACAACCGGCCTCCCTGAAACGTAAGCCCGAAAGAGTTACGTCCCTTTAAATGGTTTCGTCCTCGTGCCAAAATGACACTTCACTTATGGTCGTCACGTATTGTATGTATACAATAAATTAGCTCAAAACACAAAAGAACTCTTACCAGAAAAATAATTAATTTAGATGATATATTTCGAATTATTTCTTTTCATTCTCTTGAACTCAAATTCTCTGGTTTCGTTCGTGTCGTTTCAAGTTGAATCACGGCTGATTGAAATTCTGTACAGTTATGAGGCCCCTCTTATAGACGTGCTATAGAATTATCCAAACCTTCATGCATACCTAATTGTAACTGTTTATCAAATATCGTGCAGATAAAATGTAAATACACATTGCCAATCAATCAGTAGCATTATTCTCTAGGTAAACGAAAAACATTATCAACGACAGACCAAACTGGTATTTGTCAAACAGAAACAACGCCAGCTATTTGTAATTTTTAAATAACTGAAAATACTTATTTTAATTTATGTGTTCAGAAATATACTTATAGAATTTTCCGCAATTCTTAAATATATTTCATATATTTTAAGAATCATTATTTTCTGGAAACAGACAGACAGACAGACAGACATATTTATTCAGTAATGCGGGCCTAACGGCATATAATACAATTGAAAGATACAATATTTACAATGCCACGTGATATTTTCATGCATAATGTTTAAACAGATGTTTCAAAAACAGAGCAACTGATGTAACAACATAAGAATCTTTAGAGTTCAATACATTTATCATGCTTTGTTCACATTGAGGCATGGCATTCAGCTGTGGCAAGTACTTTTGCCGAATTTCATTATATTTTGAACATTGCATGAACACATGGTATTCCTCTTCAGTCGCTCCAAGATTACAATTTATACAGATACAGCTACTTATACCACTGTCTTTATTTCTCCTGTAAGTCACAATTTACATGTTAATTTTGTGTAGCATAAATATTTTTCATGAATTTAATTTTCGCATGATCCAAGTCAAAGTTTGCACATTTGTGAGGAATCATCTTACCTACAATCACATCATTTCTGTTTAATTTTCCGTTGCTTATTTATTGAATGGCAACAGTTTAATCAACATATGTACAGTGCCGTGAACATGGCGGCATTGTGGAACTATACCTTAGTTGATAAATGTGACGTCATTAGTTAAATAGTGGTCGGAAAATTGAACTGAAATTATGTGCGCAGAGCAGAGATGATTTCAAATTTGCCTGTCAAATTTTACAAAGATCTATCATAAACATAAAATTATCTATGCTACACTAGTACTGAAATAACATGCAAGTGTATGGAAATTACGTCAAGTTTCCGAATATATATGGCACGAGTCTGTAGTTGAAAACCTTTTCCTATATCACGCATCCAAAGCATTTCAAGAAGATTGTTGATAAGATAGGGAATCACTGTTTTTAAGAGTATTTAGTTAAAAGAATTTCTTCATCTTGCTATGTTGTTTAAGCGGCTTTCGTGTGATAAAAGTGTATGTAAATTATAGTTGAGATTAAGGCCGAATATAGCCTTCTTCGTACTGGATAAACTTAAATTTTTAAAGCGGATTTGCTTTATGGTCAACAGGGGGTAATCCTGTACGAACAAGGACAAGAGTTAACTCCCATGCATTTACTCCCCACAGTGCCTCATGTTCAACTTCACACACTGCGTGTCCTGAATCAAAGGGAGCTAAACGTGTACGATAAATCAAGAGTTATGGCCCTTCTCGAAAGGTAGGTAATCCTCTTACAATGGTAAACATGATTTTGAGTTATTTCCCTTTGACCATCAACGCCACACAATGCCTGTAAATGAAATCGCATCGTCGGGCAAAGCTTCAATATTAATGTGAGAGACGGAGCCAAGCTTTAGCCGCGCACACTCCTGCGCAAAGATGACATAGCATAACATATAACGTATTCTCTCAGCATATATTCCGCAAAGTAAAATACGAAACCAAAGATGAAAACATGAAACCGTATATTGAATTGTCTCCCTTTGACGACAAAACTACACGTTCCTCCCCAGTCTCCTTCACCTTTCGGGTATATCGTCTACTACTGGGCTCAACTGCGGGTGCTTGGGAAGCCCATTGTGGCTATTACTAATGTTATATATCCTTAAAAAATCAAGAATATCTGAATATTTCAGTCAGTGTGTGTTACGTTTGTTTGTTGTGTAACACTGCAGTAAGCGAGAAGCCATCTATTACTGAGTGGCCATATAAAACAAATCTAGTGAACAATATAACTAGCAGCATTGCTCACTATCGATTGATTTCAACCATATGGCCATACCTTGTCTGAAATTTTGTGAATTTATGCTGGCAAAAAGTATTAATTTCAAGATGAAACATCATCAGTTGTCTGTTATACGATTCATTATAAAAGTTTTAAATCAAATAAAGTTTTATTTAAAAACCACATATCTGTTCTTTGAGTTCTGCGAAAACAAAGCGAAAATAAAGTTGCCATTTTTATGCAATGTCTGTAACTTGAGAGGACTTCAGTCCTGCCCCACAACAAAGCACATGTGATATAAATGGTCTCACCTTAGGGAAGTTTGTTTGTTCAAAATTGCCTCTATTCACCCAGCAGAAAATGGGTACCCGGTGGAAGAAGTCATAAGACTATTAACCTTCTAGCACCTTCACAGGCAGCCTGGGCTATCCGTGGTTATAATAATACACAGATTGCTTGGGTGTGTCGAGCATGCATTATGCGAGGAGAAATGTGCATGACAAATGGACTATTATTATTATCACATTTTCAACTGAAAATCCAACACTTGATAATTGCAGCTTAGCTCAGTTTGCAACCGATTTTGAAGACTACGCCCTTGTATTCCTTGTAATAATCCCCATTTTCTGCAGGATTATTCGAACACATCAACCTTTTCTGTGAGTTGATAACATTGGCACAAAATATAGCAACATTGTCGGGATATAAAAGAATAGACAGCGCATTCACAGCTTCGCCAGCAGCAGCCCAACTGTAACCACTGTTTACAGTGTCCTCAACAAGTGCTTCAATATACAGAAGAAATAAAATTTACTATAAAATACATCCTTGTCGAATCCTCGTTCTAGTGTAAAAGATCTGCTGACTACACCTTACAGCTGATTACGTTATAAATGCTACCCTTATCCTGTAAGCCTCGAGTTCGATTCCTCACATAAGTACAAGGGTGTTCGTAGCATCTAAAAGTAACTATATAGTCTTCGTAACTCTGATGATGTTTCACTCCCTTTCTCACGATTAAAATATTCGTTAAGAATTCTCTTAACTTTAATATTGTTAAAAAACATACAACTGCTCCTCAATTCTTTGATTTTGGACCGAGAATCACTGATATCGTCCTTACAAACCTATGTTACATGTGTAGTCAACTGAATTATGATCTATTCCGTGTTGGTATAAAAGATAACCCAAGTTGTTCTTGTGGAAATGTTTGTGAAAATTCTTAACACTACATATTTGAGTGTCAGTTATATACTGTATAGAGAACTGCCATGATGACAAATTTACGCAGTGTTACCAATAAGATTATAAACTATGAGTTACTATTACATGGCAATGAAGATCCCACTGTTCGCATAAATCAAAATATATTTAAAATTGTTCAAACATATATTTGTCAATCAAAAAGATTAAATTATTGCAATTGTTCCACTATTTCCCATCTTTCTGTTTTTGCCTGCCCATCTTGTGTAATCAATTTAAGTACTATGTAAACACTACGAAGAGGGTGTTCTATGTTGTATAATTTGTACCCAATCCTTTCCTCATGAATACAATATGTTTAAAACATAAACAACAAAAGGGATGCTACAATCAACTGCTGGGCGCCGATTTTCATCCAAGGTCTAAATGTTGTTACCCCCTACAAGTGTAAGACGGAAACAGTCTCTATAATATATAATGTAACTAGGATCATCTTTAACGGCTTGACTAATATGTCACTGTTTCACTTCAATAAAATAGGAGCAATTAGGAAAGTAGCCAAATTTTGCAATACAATAACGTCTAAATTTAAGAAAAAAATACCGTTTGATTGTTACATTGTTAATTTAACTGGTTAAATGCATCTATACACATATTTTATTCTTGCAACCAACTGATTTGTATATATAACCGTTTTGTATATCATAAATGTACTTAACATGTATACATTTGACATAATAATGATGTACATATACCACTGTTCAGTTCAGCGGTGTTCAACGACCTCAATAAAACGTTCCAAACGGCCCAGGCTCATGACCCTCCAACCCTCTTAAACGTGCTGTGTGTAAGTGTGTATTACAGAAATAATATATAGATAAACAGAATATGTTCCTGTTCTTTAAACCTGTGTAAAGTCCACCCTTTTGTTTGAACAAAAATTCACAGGTACTGCCTTGTAATGACGTAAAACAGTCAGTATACACACATCTGTTCTCTTACCATTAGTGTTTTCAGAAAGCCACAAGATGTTATAATTAATTGATTGTTTTTGTCTGAAAAAAACCCCACAGGTGTAAATCTTGCCTTGTGTGTTTTCTAACAGTGAGCGACGCCAACACTTAACTGCGGAGACACATTATAAAGGCCATACAATGCACAGTGTTTTAAACAAACGACAATTTGCAAAGCAGCTATTCAGTAAAAGTGACCAGTTTTAGGTCTGACTAAACTGATTTATCTTATCTCTCAATATCGAATTGCTAGTCACTATACTGAATAGTTCAACTAACCGAGCAAGCCTCAAAAGCGTGCGTATTGTCATGTCACCGTCATGACAGTTTGAGGATAGCCCAGTTCTATAAATAGTAACGTCATTCACGTCACGTGAGTGTGAATCTTGGGTTGCTGATACACACCCCCTGTGGTCTATGTTGGTGAACAAAGGTTCATACAAGCATTTTGACTCAGTGGACTTACCGTAGATGTTTATATTCAACTGTCAGTGTTGAGGTATTGCTCATATTCACTGGAGGTTTCTCCTAAGCAGGGTAAGCTGCATAGATAACATCACATTCCCCATTTCTAAGAATGTAGTGTGTCAATGAAGTGTATCGACCTAAATAGTAAATGCCTTCGAATAGCAGAGGAAGCCTTAAAAATCCTTTCCGGAAAATGTTATTTCTGTAGAAATGTAGATGCATATATAATGTAAACCCCATCGTTATATAAAGAGATATAGAGCATATTATATGAGTGCCCATGTCATAAGTATGTTTACGTCAAGAGTGTTCAAGAGCGAGGGATAAACCGATATTTAGGCACGAGTGTCGTAAACATAGCATGATATGGGCACGAATATGATATTCTGTGTGTTACTATAGTCGTCAAATTGAGGAAAATATCCCCAAATATACTTTCAAACATAGGCTGGCTAGCCGCCGTCGCGGCATGTAGATCACAACGTCACAGAAGAAACGTGACGTCATAACGTCACGCCAGCATGACGAAGTGATACTTTGCCCGAGTGCATCGTATGTAAAATATGAACTCGATATTTTCGCCCACGTTTTATCATCATATCTCTGTCCCTGAAGACCATATCTAACCCGGATCTATATGTTCTTGCTAAGAGGTTATTTAAGAGATTCGTTTCATGCTACAACTCCTTCAGGACTGAGTTTTATTTCAGATAACGCACGCCCGCAGTAATTATTTTTACATCATATGCAGGCACACGGCACGTCACTCGGGCAAGATGGCGCAGAGTTTGATGTTTTGGAAGCGAAAGGACGAGATTTCGATCGAGGAGGCGATAGAGCGCCTCCGAAATCTGCAAGAAGTTCTGTCTAACAAAACTGATTACTTTGAAAAGAAAATTGATATTGAAACGAAAACTGCATTGGAAAGCAGAGGGAAAAATAAGAGAGGTAAGTAGAAAATGATTTTTTGGGCAAGGAAAATGTTGTCAATTGTACATAATGAAGGGGAGCATGTCGTACTTAATAGTACAAAATAGTAGTATTACGTTTTTAAGCTAAGAACAAGGCAAAACACCTGAGCGCAGGATATGTGTTACTGATGAAATAGATCTACTTTAGTTTACAACAAATTTCACCAAAAGAAATATCACGTAAACTGATTTACGGGTCGCTCACAGATGGTGTTACAGGTGTCACACATTATGGTGATACAGATGTCACACATTATGGTGTTACAGGTGTCACACAGATGGTGTTACAGGTGTCACACAGATGGTGTTACAGGTGTCACACATTATGGTGTTACAGGTGTCACACATTATGGTGTTACAGGTGTTACACGGATGGTGTTACAAGTGTATCACAGATGGTGTTACAGGTGTCACACAGATGGTGTTACAGGTGTCACACAGATGGTGTTACAGGTGTCACACATTATGGTGTTACAGATGTCACACAGATGGTGTTACAAGTGTATCACAGATGGTGTTACAGGTGTCTCACAGATTGTGTTAGGGGTGTCACACATTATGGTGTTACAGGTGTCACACAGATGGTCTTACAGGTGTCTCACAGATTGTGTTAGGGGTGTAACTCATTATGGTGTTACCAGGTGTCACACAGATTGTGTTACGGGTGTCACACTGATGGTGTTACAGGTGTCACACAGTAGTCGTTACAGTTGACACACATATGGTGTTACAGGTGTCTCACAGATTATGTTAGGGGTGTCTCACATAATGGTGTTACAGGTGTCACACAGATGGTGTTACAGATGTCACACAGATGGTGTTACAGATGTCACACAGATGGTGTTACAGATGTCACGTGGACGATGTTACGGGTCTAGTAGGGGTCACGTGGATGATGTTATAGATCTAGAATAAGTGGTGTCACGCGGACGTGTCATTACAGCTGCACTCCAGGCCCTGCGACGGCGTAAGCGATATGAGAAGCAGCTGCAACAAGTGGACGAAACGACGGCGTCACTGGAGGTGCAGTTGGAGGCGTTAACATCGGCTACGGTGAATGTCGACGTCGCCAATTTCCTGAGGTTGACGTCAGAGGCGATACAACGTACCTTCGGCAACATGTGCGTAAAACACTGGGCTAGTCGTATCCGCTGGAGATAGAAAACATATTTTTCTGTTTTGCAAAGAAACAAACTCAAAAATACGCTAGGGAAGTCAGATTCAAAAGATAGTTATTTCCACAATACAGCGCAACGGCCATTTGATAGCTTGTCCCGATCGCTTTATGGAATGGCTCGTGGAAAGGGAAGGGCTGACTGAGGTTAGTTATACACCGCTTTTAGCAATATTCCAGCAATATCACGACGGAGGACACCATAAACGGGCTTCGCACATTGTACCCATGTGGGGAATCGAACCCGGGTCTTCGGCGTGACGAGCAAACGCTTTAACCACTAGGCGACCCCACCGTCCTGGAAAGGGAAGAGGGTGCAGGCTGGTGGTGGTAGGATTTGTAAGGAGACCAGATAAGGTTTAAGTTGCATCTGAAAACCAGATAATATATCTGTTTGCTTAAATTACGGTCCCAATATTTTAACCTCTGTCCGAATATATTGTTCGGTACAATGTGTGGAACCTATTTCTGCTATCCCACGCCAACATTTTGCTGGAATATTGCAGAAACAGGCGTAAAACCATACTCCCTCACTCACTCATTGCAATATGACCTGATTGATATCATTTATTTATAACGTGGCCAGGACAGCGGACAAGGTGGCGGACCTGAGGGACGAGGTGTCTGACAGGATGGAGGATGTAGAAGAGATGGGCAACATCCTGGCACAGCCTCTTGGCGGCGAGGAATTTGATGACGTATGTATAGCTGCGTAGGCCATGTTTGTAGCAGCGAGTTGTCTGATCAAAATTATTATTGACAACTTTGATTTCTGTTTAATGCGGTACTCGCATTTTTCCAGGTTTTTTTGCGACGGTTCGAATCTTGACCAGGCAATCCTACCAACTCTTCTGTCATGTTACCCACTAACACACAAACCCATTCGCACCACTCTCAACCTACACAACCCGTACTGGTTCTACGTACCACTAATACATCTTCCGTCCACTTTTTTCACTTACTCCACACCCACACACAATCAGAGCTACTCATGTTTGCATTTTTTTAAGGATGATCTTCTGGCGGAGCTAGAGGAAATGGACCAGGATGATCTCATACAAAAACTGAGCGACATCCAGTTGCCCTCAGTGCCAACCGAGGAGCTCAAGACAAAAGGTGAGATCTCCTTATACGAGTGAGTGAGTGAGTGAGTTAATATTTGACGTCACATCGGCAATGTTTCAGCCACATCGATACGAGAACAGATTTGACGTCAATAAAGAATATGTGTACATTATGAAGCCTGTCGTCAAAGGGGAGTACGCAACTAGAATATCACAGTTAGAATTAAAACAACTCATAGTATAGAAACAGGCTATATATCGCCGTTAACTGAAGGTAGATCACCATACTAGGGTCCATGGGGACTTACAGTAATTTTGCTACCTGCATGGATTTACACCACCCTTTCAGCCATAGAAGATTGTGCTTAGATTTAGCCACTAAAATGCGGTAGATCAAAGTTTTGGGACTTACGTAACCTGTGAAGATCAGGGCGGAGGCTATTAATGGGTTGTCAGACCCGCTGACTTGGTTGACACATGCGAGCGTATCCCAATAGCGTATTTCGAAGGTCACTGGGTATTCTGTCGAGTATATACAACCCGCTGTCTTATGGCTGGAAAATGGCGTTAAAACAAACAAGACATAATCCAAACGAATCGGGAATTCGAACTTGTGATCACAGGTTTCTGGCGTCCAAAGGGACGCAACTCTGCACAAATAATTGCAGGGCCTGAGAAGACTGAGCCTGTGTCCCATGTCTGTGAATGGATTCAAGAAAAGGAGGTATCTACTGCTTATAACGACTCCTTACGTGCGCACACACGCACAAGCACATGCGGAGACAAAGTGTGTTAATACCAGTCGGCGGGGTAGCCTAATGTTTAAAGCGCTCACTATCAACAGTCACTATTAACATGCCCACCCTCATTGTTTCCAGGCGACAAGAAGTCCGGGAAAGCGAAAGAGGAAGAGGAGGAAGAAAGAGAAATGAGGAAGTTTGCTGAATGGATGTGACGTCACTCCACAAGGAGTGACGTCACACCATCCTCTACGATCCAGTAGGTTTTAATGTCCCTTCTGCTAGTATTTAATACTTGTATTTGTCAAGTTGGAATCTATAGATGATATGTACAGAAAGTAACTTAAATACAAAAATAGATGTGACGTGTGGCCCAAATCCACTTTTTACAATCCAGTCGGTTTTATTCTCCATTTCCCATACTCTACCTATAGGATCGAGAGATGAATTGCAGCATGTAAAAAGGATTGGATCCGGTAGCACAACATCAAAAGAATGTACCCCAAAAGAGACAGAGAGAGAGAGAGAGAGAGAGAGAGGAGGGAGGGAGGGAGGGAGGGTGGGAGGGAGGGAGGGAGGGTATTCTTTCAACTCCCATCGATAATCTTGTAATTGATGTTGAAATGTATGTCAAGACAGAGATGATGGAAGAGCATGACATGCTAGCATTCTTTGTTGAAGCCAATACCAGCTACTATTATAGAATTGTCAAAGAGAGAGAGAGAGAGAGAGAGAGAGAGAGAGAGAGAGAGAGAGAGAGAGAGAGAGAGAGAGAGAGAGAGAGAGAGAGAGAGAGAGAGAGAGAGAGAGAGAGAGAGAGAGAGAGAGAGAGAGAGAGAGCATGAAATGCTCAATCACTTGTGGTCCAGCCTTATAGAATAAAGAATATAATGTATTATATTAATTTAAACTAAAGGACATCCTCAATCACTTGTGGTCATAGCCTTAATAACCTGTATATATTGGGGGAAATGTTCCCATATTATATGTGTGTGTGTGTGCGCGTGCGTACGTGCGTGCGTGCGTGCGTGCGCGAGGTATTCATGTACTTAATTCTATACATTGTAATTACATAACCATAATGTTTTGAGGGTCTTCTGAACTATCTGGAGGAAATAAAGACATTCATCATCTTCATCAATGTGGTATTGATATAAAGCGTTCACTTTGCCTCTTGCTTACTACATCTTACAGCTGGTTTTACAATATCATACGTGTTACGTTATTAATTCCACATCCTGTAAGCTTCAAGTTCGCTTCGTCACACAAGTACAAGCGGTGATACAATGTACAGTCGGACGCCGTTTTCCGATTTTAGACCGTCAAAGGTCTAAAGGTTGTTAACGCCTGCGGGGGCGGTGGGGTAGCCTAGTGGTTAAAGCGTTGGCTCGTCACGCCGAAGACCCGGGTTCGATTTTCCACATGGGCACAATGTGTTAAGCCCATTTCTGGTGTCCCCCCGCCGTGTCATTGCTGGAATATTGCTAAAAGCGGCGTAAAACTAAACTCAGTCAGTCAGTCAGTCAGTTAACGCCTGCAGGTGTAAATATGAGACATTCTCATTATGGAACTAGGGTAATCTGCCACTGCTTGACTATGGTGGCTGATTAGGGCGTCTCGTGATATCGCTTTCTCGCCTCCGAATTTTAAGGCGAGAAAGCGATGGCCCTAATCAGCCACCATAAATCAGCCACTGATATGCCACTGCTTTATGAACGACAGTTCCGTGTTAGAATGATATCCCATGCTTGTCGTAAGAGGCGACTAACGGGATCGGGTGGTCAGGCTCGCTGACCTGGTTGACACATGTCACCGTATCCCAATGGCGTAGATCGATATCCATGCTGTTGATCACAGTATTGTCTGGTCCAGACTCAATAATTTACAGACCGGCGCCATATAGTTGGAATAATGCTGTACCTGCTAAACCGCTTTACTGAACAAACGACCGCCCCCGTGGTGTAGTGTTTAGAGCGTCCTCCCGGAGAGCGGAAAATCGCGGGTTCGATCCCCGACCGCCTCATACCAAAAGACGTTAAAATATGGTACTTGTTGGTTCCTGCCTGGGGCTCGGCATCACTGGGTACAAAAGGGACTGGTCGGCTCGGAGTCAGTATAATGTGTCTGAGTGGGGTATTCATGCTTCACTGCGGCATGGTATCTCAGTGGGCTATCACTATAAAACCAGCTTAAGTCTGGACTAGTACAAGCAGCCGCACATACACATACACACGCATGCACGTCGTCATATGAGCGAAATATTCTCAAGCACCCCAATTTCACCTCACCTCACTGAACAAACAAATAAACCTCAGAGTGAATATGAAGTGTTTATGACACAGAGAGAATATTTACACAAACAGAATGTTGCTGAGCTTTGAGATAGATATACATGAATAATAACGTAAAGACGTCCCTTTCCTTCATTGGACCACCTCCTAGTAATGAAAATATGTTGTCCAGAATACAACAACTCTCACCATTAATGTCGTCACAACTACAACATTGTTAGCTGTTTTTTGAGGGAAAATTCGGTGACTTCTTCGCCTTGTGTCTAGACTGACAATGACGCCAAAACTGAGACCCAAAATAAGCCATACAATGTGTGAAAAATACGGCGCAAGATAAACCCAATAACCACGCAGCTGCTTCGTACAATCGAGAAGTTCCAGGTCAAATTTTACATTGAGTAATCATTCGTATCTTTCACTATCGACCTGATATTTATAATTGTTAGTGATCCCGCAACCCTCCAAAGCACTTGACTTGTTACGTCACCACCACAATAAGCTTGCTCTAAATGTTCAGCGCTCGACGATACGAAATATGTAAACAAGGGAAAATCCCAGTTCTATTAATAGAAACGTCATTCACCACCGCGTGAGCGTGAATCTTGGTGTGTTTATATACTTATCCTCTATGTTCTGTGGTGGTGAACGAAGGTTTATAAATGCATTTTGACTCAGTGAACTTGCTGTAGATGTTTATATATAACCGTCGGTGTTGAGGTATTGCTCAGATTCAACTACAGGTTTCTCACAAGCAAGGTAAGCTACCATCACACCCCCTATTTTTATATATAGTGAATCAGTGTATTTTATCGATAATGTCTACGAATAGTAGCGGAAGGCTGAGAAAACAGTGTGGTGGATATTCGGAAAATGTTGAAATATAGTTGCATACTCACTGAAAACCCATTCGTTCACCCTGATCAACGAACCAAGGATTTCATTTGTATATTTGTTGTTAGAAGTGCCCGGAATTACAAGGTTTAACTGTAATACAATAACGAATAATGATGTGTAACTTTCATATGATCATGAAAACCATGTTCAAACTGTTATGGTAATGAATAATGAGGTTTAACTGTGGTATGAGCATGAGTGAGCCAGTATTGTTTTACGCCGCTCTTAACACAGTTCCAGCAATATGACGACGGGAGTTTCCACAAATGGGCTTCACATAGTTCCTTTTATGATGAATCAACCTGCGTGTTACGCTTGAAGTGAAAACACTTTAGCCTCTGGGCTACCCAACAGGTATTATCATGAATAACGAGTAAAGGCATAGAATAGTTTAATTTATTCCTAAATAAAATATTTCCGAAAAATTACCATTATACTGTGTCTACTCTGTATGTTTATGTAACGCTATGTGTGGTCACTTGGTGTTATTGCCACTTAAAGCAGAATCATGACACATAATGAACAAAGATAGCTTCGTGCTTTAGCTGTTAAAAATGGTCTCTAATAAAACATGCGTTTTGCAAACGAGAAACATCGTCATTTACTGTTGTTACGTAGTAATCGGTTGTACCTGGCTTGTCAGTCAAAACGTGATGACGTAATTTTACGCCGATATATTGTCGGTTTACTCATGACTTTCTGTTGCAAAAGGATGGAGAATGACCTCCTATGTGTATCTCTGTGTGAAGGGTTCACTATCAAGCATTTTCTGCTTGACTGTGTGGACTTTTCATATTGCAAGGGATTCACAAAACAACCTTAGCGCTAAGACTACCTTAAGGCATGGGAGTTACGGTCACTTTAGCGCTAAGATAGCTTTGTACAACGGCACCCTGTACCATGAATTGTAACTATGTAATGTGAATGACGGATTGTTTGTTTATATATCTGGTGCTATGACTTTTCTGTTTGTAAATAGTTATGTAATGGATAAATATATTTAAGATGAATACCCTTGAATTATTTGGCAAGGAAACAGGAATGAAAGTAAACCTTAAGAAAACAAAAGTGGTTGTTTTCAGAAATGGAGGGCCTCTTTGATCTTATGGAAAGTGGTATTTTAATGGGGAACAAATAGAAACAGTTTCTTTCTACAAATATCTTTGCATTATATTTACACCAAAGCTTGTTTGGTCCAGGTCACAATTGTGTTTAGTATCTCAGACTAGAAAGGCAATTTTATCAGTTAAACACTTTCAAAAGAAATTCGGAAACATTTACTGTACAGATTTATTCAAAACTTTTGATGCACTGATCATACCAACATTATGCTATGGCTCAGAAATATGGGGAACTTCATATTGTAAAAGTATTGAATTGGTACAGCTTGATTTTTGTAAAAAGTATCTTAAAATAAATAGGTCATCTTGTAATTACATGGCCCTGTGTGAATGTAGCAGATTGCCCTTGAATGTTTAATTATATGACCCGTGTAATCAAATATCGGTGTAGATTGTTACAACTTCCTCATGATAGATTACCTTTTCAAAGCTACCTTATGATTACGTCATTAGATGATAATTGTAGAACAACATGGGCATCAGAAGTTAAAAGTCTTCTTCCTAATTGTAGTTGTGGAAATGTTTGGGTGAGCAAAGCTGTTGGTGATGTAAAGATGTCTTTAAGCTTATTTAAGCAAAGATTATCAGATAATTTAAAACATTCCTTGTACTCTTCCCTGAGTAATTCCTCGAAATGCAACTATTATCAGTATTTTAAATCAGCGTTAAATGTTGAATGTTATTTATCGTTTAACCTTTCCACACATTTAAGAGCTGTTTTAGCACAGTTTAGGTGTAGTTATTTTAACACAACTGTAGAATTGGGCGTTATAACAACACTGATTTTAATCAAAGATTTTGTACATCAGGTAAATCTAGAGGTCTTACCTATATTGAAGATGAATTCCATGCACTGTTCATTTGTGAATCCTATTCACAACTAAGAGAGAAGTTTATTACAAAATGTGTTAAAAAGCCTTATACTGTATATTCTTTAGCAAATCTTTTCAAGAATACTTATGTAGACACTGTAAAATCTGTTGCCTTGTATCTATTTCGTGTTAAAGACAGACAGACAAACAGACATTTTATTCAGTAATAGGTCACTGGCCCAAAATACATTCATAAATATGATAAGAAGTTACATGTGTTTTGCCCGGGAGACTATATAATGTTGTAGATTATCCCTGGTTTTACATAAAAACATCAGAATCTCTTATTTTGCCAACATTATATGAAAATAGGCACAAATTATTTATAACATTTATGTTTGTTGAAGTCATTATGTTATATAACTGTGTTGTGAAACAGGATGTTTCAAATCTTTACCCAGAAACTTATTCCTTATATCTAAGTAGGCTTTACAATAAAGTAAAACATGTATTTCATCTTCAATTTATAAATTAAGATTATTTTGGTAGCAAAAAGGACAAAATCGAGAATAATAAGGGACATTGTTATATCTACCGGTATCAGAAATAAGTTTAAATTTATCGCATCTAAATTTTGTTAAACAATTTCTGAAATATGGGGCAATACCTTAACTGAGATAAGTTTCAACATTCAGGAGGGACTTGAAAAGAATATAATTAATTTTATGTTAAAAGGATTATTACAAACACACTTGATTGATCATTGTGCCCCTGACTACACTGGAATTTCCTTTTGAATGTACGTCCTTTTATTGGAAATAAACTCTGTCTGTCTGTAAATATGTTGTTGTTTTTTAAAAACACCAACCCAACTCATTTAACCTTTGTACCTAAAATGTTTATGTATTCAGACTTAGCCTCGTCACTATATGGCTGAAATAATGGCAATGCGACGTAAAACTCAATTCAACTCATCTTGTTACGTAGTTCCATTAGGATCGACGGTCAGGTGACTTCGAGCGTTATTTTTAGTACTCTCTGCATGTCCAAACACATCAATATACATTCTACATCTGCACCGATGATATTTCTATCAGTTGGGGCTGGAATTGAGTGTACAGCCCTACTGTCATCAGTCATCAACAGCATGAGCATTGATCTACGCAACTTCGATAAGATGACATGTATCAACCCAGTCAGCGAACTTGACCACCCGATTCCATTAGTCACTTCTAACGACAAGCATGGGATACTATTTACAGATCAATTCTAACCGGATCTTCACGAGTCGCTATTATAATGTGTATGATGAATTTTCCTTCGCAGAAACGGATAACTGTAAACCCATTTAACGTATTGATTGTATATTTTTGACAACATCTCCAACTTAACCTGAGCAAAGAAATTCCTTCCCAAACTCAGAATTGAACCCAGGAAATGGTCTCAAAAACGCAACCTGATCTCGGAGATGGTACGGTGTTCTCCATGTTTTTAATGCAACTCATGCTGCACGTGCTGTTCACAAGGACCAGCCCTATAAAATGCAACCCCAAACCTGCTTGAAACATTCACATTACGTCAGCAGGATGCTGCGACTCACGACACCTTAGAGGAAACAGGCGCTAGGAAGATTTGAAGCTAGCCACACTGCACAAGCCGTTGCCAATCACCTCCAGGTCAATGTTGGGACCATCTACAGGCTGTAGCAACGTTTGCGGGCCACCAACACCACTAATGATTGCCCCCGTACTGGCAAACCAAAGGTGACAAGACGACAAGACCGCCATGTTGAGCGACAGCATGTACAGAATCACTTCATGCAGGCATCCGAAACAGCACGTCAGACAGTGGGAACACACGGAAGACCAATCAGTACCCGCCGACGTCTTAACAGCGGGAACCTCCATTGCCCTGACCTTACCGTGGACCTATCCTCACCCCTCGTCATCGTCATGAACGTCGACAGTTTGCCATACAACACCAAAACTGGCGATCAAGGCATTGGAGAACTGGTCTGTTCACAGATGAGAGTCGGTACTACGTATCAACTTCAGTTTGCAGAACAAGAATATGGCGACGACGTGGCCAGCGTTATTCAGACCAATGTGTTATGGAAGGAGACTCATGGGGAGGTGCAAGCATCATATGGGGTGGAATAGGCCTGAACCAGAGAGTGGGTCCTGTGGTGTTCCAGAACCTTGGTCCAGGGAGAGGAGGCGGCATCACATCGGTGCGCTACATCGATCAAGCTCTCAGACCCCACGTCATACCGCATTTCACACGTCACCGGAACAACATTTTCCAGCATGAAAACGCCCTGGCCCATACTGCCAGAGCTACACGGGACTTCCTACAGCAGAACGGTGTCAACATTATCCAGTGGCCAGGCCTTAGTCCTGATTTAAACCCAATTGAACATCTTTGGGATGAAATTCAGAGGAGACTGAACAATGTCATGCCAAGGCCCAGCAAAGCCGATTTATTGCGCCAGGCCTTTCTCAGAGTGTGGTTCCAGGTGCCAGTGGCCTTCATCAATCGATTGGTGCACCCCATGCACAGACGCTGTGCTGAAGTTATTGCCGCTCGTGGTGGTCACACGAGATACTGAAGTCAAGAGTCTGAATTGACTGCAAACCTTCAATGTCTTGAAATTGTGCTGAGTTATTCATTGATGTGTCAAGATATGGTACACAAAGAGTGTTTTTGATCCGCTTATTATGTACATTTCTGTAATGATTTGATTACAGTGCCTGTCTAATTTTGAATTCGTTATTTTTTTACTGCTGAGTATATTTGCAGTGGTGTAAACCCAAACGATAAATGAGCGTTTATTTCGCAAGGGGATCGAATTTGTAGCCCTCGTCTGTCTGTTTTCAGTCTGTTGTATAAAACACCAATCAACAAGCCGATAAATCACGATAAACTTTAGGAAGCGGACGTATAATATATGTTGCTTGTGTTTGTTTGCCGCACTCATATCAGCAATATTCCAGCTACATGGCGGCGGTCTGTAACTAATCGAGTTGGACCAGACAATCCAGTGATCAAGAGCATAAACATCGATCTACGCAACTGGGATACGAGGACATGTATCAACCAAGTCGGCGAACCCGTCCGCCCGATCCCGTTAGTCGCCTCTAATGACATACATGGGTTCCTGAGCCCAGTGCTAACAAGGCTCTTCACAGGTCTGAGTTACAAAAGAGATTCTTTAAGAGATTATGTTCTTGCTAACAGGCACGCACACATCAGTAGTATTTTGTTTCTTCATATATACAGGCACACGGCAAGGCACCCGGGCAAGATGACTACTCAGGGTAAAATGGGTGTGGCACAAAGGCTGATGTTTTGGAAACGACAGGACGGGATTTCCCCCGAGGAAGCGATAGAGCGCCTTCGCAATCTGCAAGAACTTCTGTCTAAAAAAACCGATTACCTTGAAAACAAAGTTGATGCTGAAACGAAAACTGCATTGGAAAACAGAGTGAAGAATAAGAGAGGTAAGTCAAATAATGAATCAAATTTCGGTTATGGCAGGGGAAATATTGGAAGTATTGAATCCCTTCAATGTCATCTGCTAAACATCTGAGTGCAGGAAATGTGTTACTGGTGAAATTGATCTACTTTAGTTTACAACAAATTTCACCAAGAAACTGATTTACGGATTGCTCACAGGTGTTACAGGTGTCACGCAGATGGTGTTACAGGTGTCACGCAGATGGTGTTACAGGTGTCACGCAGATAGTGTTACAGGTGTCTCACAGATGGTGTTATAGGTGTCACACAGATGGTGTTATAGGTGTCACACAGATGGTATTATATGTGTCACAAAGATGGTGTTACAGGTGTCACACAGATGGTGTTACAGGTATCAAACATTATGGAGTTATAGGTGTCACACAGATGGTGTTACAGGTGTCACAGTGATGGTGTTACAGGTGTCACACAGATGACTTTACAGGTGTCACACAGATGGTGTTACAGGTGTCACACAGATGGTGTTACACGGATCGGTTTGGTTATATCTCATTCATGCTTTGGGTCTCATGTACACATTCACAAATCTCATCTGAAATAGATGATGTTATACATCACATAGATGATGTTATAGATTACTAATAAGTGGTGTTACAGGTGTCACATGACTGATGTATTACGTGTCACGTGGTTGATGTTACATATCTCATATAAGTGGTGTTACAGGTGTCATGTGGAAGGTGTTAAAGGACTAGTAGGTGTAACGTGGATGGTGTTACATATCTATTATAAATGTCGCATGTTCTTACAGACAGAGTAAAAGTGGAGTTACAGGTGTCACGTTGATATGTCGTTACAGCCGCACTCCAGGCCCTGCGACGTCGTAAGCGATATGAGAAGCAGCTGCAACAAGTGGACGGAACGACGGCGTCACTGGAGGTGCAGTTGGAGGCATTAACATCGGCTTCGGTGAATGCCGAAGTCGTGAAGTGCCTGAAGTTGACGTCAGAGACGATGCAACGTACCTTCGGCAACATGTGCGTGAAACAGTGGATAAGTCGTATCAACTGAAATATAATAGGGCTACACAACATTTTTTGTCAGTTTTGGAAAGAAACACAAAAAAGGCCAGGGAAATCAAATGCAAAAGATATTTTCTTTCACAATGCAGCGCAACTATCATTTAATATCCTTGGTTCCTTTACACAAAGCGAACCTGCTGGTCGTCACTCCCATACTTTCACATAGCGTTACGACAGTCGTAGGGCACCGATCGCTTTATGGAACGGGTCGTGGGAAGGGAAGAGGGTGCAGGCTGGTGGTGGGAGGATTTGTGAGGAGACCAGATAAGGTTTTAGTTTCACCTGAAAATCAGATACGAGGGTCGATCAAAAAGTACGTAGCCTAACTATATTCTCGGTTCCCAATGTTTGCAAAGGTTCCATTTTATTTTGAAGGAATCGTTAGCAAAGCCATATCCAAAATTTTACATGTGTGGGTAATGTGGTTAACCAGATAGTTGTCATCACAACACATTTGGGTATAATATTTCTAACAAAATGAAATGAAAATGAAAAACGATTTGTCTTTTGGTACCTCTTGGATAATGGTATGCTCTCAGATAATGTCATATAAAATATGTTCAGTATAGTATTGGATGACTTCCCGTCATGATCAACAGTCAAAGATTTGGATTGCCTGATTTATATTTAGTCGGGGCTATGTTTTAAGGACACCCCCATTTTCATCTTTCAAAACATCGTGTCCAGATATTCAAGCTGGCACTTGAGTAACCATTCAGTATTTAGTTTGAAACCTTGGCATCACGTATGCATAAGTGAAAGCATTAGAATAAGCTATGCCCTTTTGATTACGTCATCTGAAAGGTGGATGGGTAGTGTCTCCTAAACAAGCCCTTTCAGTCAACATGAAGGGGGGAGTCACTTTAACAAGCGATTGTAATTTCAAATTGCTTTTTTATGAACTTTAATATCTAAGTGTGATTCTAGGAGACTTCGATCAGTCTCAAACACACAAAATATTACTTGCATATTTTACATCCTGAAGTTTTAATGCATTTATTGTAGATTTTGCGTTTTTTGAGGGTACCAAGATAAAAGGTCAAACAAAATGTGGATGGTGAGACTGGAACATAGCAAAACCAAAATGCTTGAGCTCCACAGATAATATGTAGAAAAATAAAACATAAAATTAACTGCATGTGTATCGTTTTCTTGGTGATTCTACATACTTTTTGATCGCCGCACGTAATGTATCTATTTCCTTGGGGTCACAATATTTTAAAGTCCTGTCATTCCAATGTATTGTTCGGTACAATGTGGGAAACCTATTTCTGGTATCCCACCCCGACATTTTGCTGGAATATTGCCAAAACAGGCGTAAAACCATACTCCCTCACTCATTGATCTATGATGAGTGCAATATGACCTGATTCATATAATTTATCTATGCCGTGATCAGGACAGCGGACAAGGTGGCGGACCTGAGAGATGAGGTGTCGGACATGATGGAGGATGCAGAGGAAATCGGGGGCATCCTGGCACAGCCTCTTGGCGGCGAGGAATTCGATGACGTATGTATGGCTGTGTAGGACAGGGGTTGCCGAATAATTGTTTCCAGCAGCAAGTTGTCTGATCAAATTGTTTAGCAAGTTTATTTCTGTTTAATGCGGTACTCAGCATTTTTCCAGTTTTATTGCGACGGTTCGAATCTGGACCAGGCAGCTCTGCTCACTCTTCTGTCACACACTCACACACATACCAACACGCACCACTTTCAAATACTTACTCTGTCTCACAGTCCCTGAACCACATTATTTCCCCTCCTGCCAAGCCCTCTCTGCAGTGCTAAAGCCCTATATAAAGCAAGTCTAGATTTCCTCAGGTTCAGGGTCTGTTCTGAATCTCTGGTCACCCCGGGTCTCCTTTTCAATTTAAATGGGCTTGTTTGTTACTATCAAAATTATATATATTCAGAGGCTAAGCATTAGTCTATCACATACTGAGCCCATGCTGGTCCTAAGCCCCACTAATACATCTTCCGTCCACTTTTCTCACTTACTCCACACCCACACACAGTCAGAGCTACTCTGGGTTTTTTTCAGGATGATCTTCTGGCGGAGCTTGAGGTAATGGAGCAGAACGAGCTCACAGACAAACTGTGCAACATGCAGTTCCCTTCTGTGCCCACTGAGAAGGTCAAGGTAAAAGGTGAGATTTCTTAATATGGAACAGGTTAAACTGACATGCTATACAAAAGGGACAACCGCGTCAAAGACGTTTTCTCGAGAACTTGAAATGAATTGTTCACTTTAGGTTAGGACACGTAGACTAGCCAGGCAGTCGGATTCAAATCCGGTTTTAACTGAACTTAATTCACCCAGGCTGCGAACTGCGGCATAAGAGGTACATAAACAATATTTACATTTATACAACAAACAACATATAAATATACAAACGGTATGATGATGCAATGTACATCGACCAATTTACATATTAAGGTATTGACGGTATTTCTTAAATAGAGCGATAATTATTTTACCCAAAGTTTTCTTTAAGTTCCTAGCGTTTTGGTGTTACATGGGATATTCATTTTATACACATTTAGTTTGATATAACGACACTTGTGAATATATTTTTCTCTTTCGAATTCTTTTTTAGGACAAAGCGATAAATAAATAAATAAATAATGAAATTCGTCACCAATGTCATGTAAGTTACAGAGTACACTTTCTGTCATTTACTGGGATTTGTCACTATCAACCTGTCTTGATACCAAGAAAATGATTTGAAGTTCGAAATTTTAACAAGTTATTTGCAGGTATTGTTTAAAATTGATGAATTTTTGAAAATGCTATAAGTGGTTTCAATTGTTGACATCCATGCTTGCTGATAAATGTCTTTTAATTTACTTTTGATAACAGTTTTAAGCCAAAATATACTTTAAAAAAATTTGGGATTTCCAGATGAAACTCAGTCCAAGATCGTCAAAAATTCATTTATGTTCACATTTACCAAATATGTAATCGTTGAATATCAATTTATAAGTAAAAAAGCACACTTCTGACGATTTTCCGGATAAAAGTGTAGCCCGAAAACATACCATTCTGCTCTTGATAACTTTTACATGCGTGGGAATCTGCCAAACTCGCCATATGCCATAAAGTTAGGTGTACGTTTCCTGAGTGATGCTAAATATTTGAGAAAGCGTAGATGAACATTTTCAAAGCAGGAAGTTCAAAACCCTAGACCTCACATCCATATAAAAGAATTGGCGTGACCATACAATCAAACAATTTCAAGTGACAATCATTGAAAAGTTACGTTTTCTACCTTGGCTTAATGCAAAGAACATTGCTTTTGCTGCCTTTTCAACCAGTACACATATGGTTTTAGTTAATTTGCTATTGTTCAATGTGTGTGTGTTTCAATTTGATGTGGGTTAAAAGCCAGAAGTAGTGACCCGAGAAGTACCTTAACCTAAGCACAGTATCCTGCTGACAGACACAAGAAGCATAATCGGGAACCCGTGAAGATTCGGGTTAGATTGTTTTTCATGCTTGTCATAAATAACTATTAACGGGGTCGGGTGTCAAGACTCGCTGACTTGGTTGACACATGTTATCGTATCCCAATGGCTTAGTTCGATGCTTAGTCTTAGAGTGCGGCGTTAAAACAAGCAAACAAGGCATAGTCCAGTCAAGCCGTGATTCGAACCCTCGATCACAGGTTTCTAACCCAACTGACGCAACTTTTTCTTAACAAACTGCGGGGCCTGAGACGACTCATCCTCGATAATCTCCAGGGTTTACGTTACGATCACTCTCCACTATACCCTGGATGCATCCACGGCTCTTTTTTATGCATCCCGATAATTATATTACCTCCCTTGGCTGGCTTTTCATCACATCAGGTGTCTACACTGGGAAATTGAGCGAACCAATCACAACTCACTTTCGCTTCTTAATTATCTAACAGTTTAAACTTGGCAACACAATTGATGCAGAGGTACTCTGAAAGAGGTAGGAGTTCTTGTATATATTTTTTGAAAATTTCAGATCTGACAATTTGTCTGTATTATTTCCTCAAAAATCTTAGTGGTACTGCGTACAAACCTTCGCGACTGCGACTGCTATCTTTGTTTACACTGGCAAGCTCGGATGTAACGGCGGCTTAGCTGATTGGCTACTGTGAGAATGCAGTAGAATGCCAAGGGAGGTAAAATAATGATCGGGCCTTTAAGCCGTGGATGCATTCAGGGTATAGTGGAGAGTGATCGTGACGTATACCCTGGAGATTATCGAGGATGGAGAAGACTAACCCTGTGCTAGTCTGTGAGAAAGACAATGCATTTGAATGGATATAGGAAAAGTGAGTGAGTGAGTTTAGGTTTACGCAGCTTTTAGCAATATTCCAGCAATATCACAGCGGGGGACACCAGAAATAGGCTTCACACACTGTACCCATGTTGAGACTCCAACCCATGTCTACAGCGTGACGAGCGAACACTTTAACCACTAGACTACCCCACCGCCTCCATATAGGAAAAGGAGGCATCTACCGCATCATAATGACTCCTTGCGCGCACACACACTCTAGCGTGCACACAAAGACATAGAGCGTGTTATAAACAGTAGGTGGGGAAGCCCAGTGGTTAAAGTGTTCGCTCGTCACGCCGAAGACATGGGTTGGATTCCGGACCACAAGGTTACGCTGTGTGAAGCCCATTTCTGGAGTACCTCGATGTTATTTTTGTTGAATATTACTAATACGGCGTAAAATTATACTCACGTGATCACTATTAACATGTCCACTTTCATTTATTCCAGACGACAAGAAGACCGGGAAAGAGAAAGAGGAAGAGGAAGAAAAAGAAGAACTGAGGAAGTTGGCTGAATGGATGTGACGTGGCTCTACAAGGGGTGACGTCACATCATTCTGTTCGATCCAGTGGGTGTTATCTCCCGTCTACTAGTATTTAATGCTAGTATTTTTCAGTGTGGAATCTTGTACAGTAGATGGCGTATGCACATAGTAACTGTTAAATACAGAAATGTATGTTGTATTACTATACAGCTTTACATGGCCTCGGCAATATTGCATGCATCACGATTTATTACTAAATTTAGTTATGAGATCTGTTATATGTATGCATATACCATTATATGTACAATGTATGTGGTAAGTTTCAATAGATGTCTTAAGTCTCAGTGTTGCCTTATTGTGTGATATATGACATCTAATAAATGGGTATACAACACAGCGTGACATGATGCCTGATAGTTAGGTATGTCTGCTAATAGCGGGATTGACCGGATAGTGTGGTATGTCTGCTAATAGCGGGATTGACCGGATAGTGTGGTATATCTGCTAATAGCGGGATTGACCGGATAGTGTGGTATGTCTGCTAATAGCGGAATTGACCGGATAGTGTGGCATGTCATCTAATAGCGGGATTGACCTGACAGTGTGGTATGTCTGCTAATAGCGGGATTGATCAGATAGTGTGGTATGTCTGCTAATAGTGGGATTGATCAGATAGTGTGGTATGTCTGCTAATAGCGGGATTGACCGGATAGTGTGGTATATCTGCTAATAGCGGAATTGACCGGATAGTGTGGCATGTCATCTAATAGCGGGATTAACCTGACAGTGTGGTATGTCTGCTAATAGCGGGATTGACCGGATAGTGTGGTATGTCTGCTAATAGCGGGATTGACCTGACAGTGTGGTATGTCTGCTAATAGCGGAATTGACCTGACAGTGTGGTATGTCTGCTAATAGCGGGATTGACCGGATAGTGTGATATGTCTGCTAATAGCGGGATTGATCAGATAGTGTGGTATGTCTTCTAATAGCAGGATTGACCGGATAGTGTGGTTTGTCTGCTAATAACGGCATTAACCGGATAGTGTGGTATGTCTGCTAATAGCGGGATTGACTGGATACTGTGGTATGTCTGCTAATAGCGGGATTAACCGGATACTGTGGTATGTCTGCTAATAGCGGGATTGACCGGATAGAGTGGTATGTCTGCTAATAGCGGAATTGACCAGATAGTGTGGTATGTCTGCATATAGCGGGATTGACCTGATAATGTGGTTTGTCTGCTAAAAGCTGGATTGACATCAGGATTGGCCGAATTTGAGGGTTTTTTCTCAATGAGGTGTACATATGTCCAACGCTTCACAGCAGTTACATGTACAAAATCATCTGTCTTTGGTTCGTGTTATCCTCACAACATATTGCTTATTGTTCATACATTGAAAATCATTTGCATTTGTACAGGAATATTAGATTATCACATATAGCAATAATACTACATAAAAATGTATGGTATGTGTTGACTCATAAAAGAAATGGAAGGACATGTTTCTTGACAATGTGTGATCATTTCTGTGAAATTAATGCATCTGCTGCTGTTTAATAGTTGAGTGTTTCCCAGCCTTCTGTGTCAAAGTAGATTTAAGAATACAGCATTCTACTGGCCAGCAGAGAAAAACTGATGTTGATGTGATCTTGAATACTCTGCAGAGTAAAAGACGTAGAGAATTCACGGTGATACTAAACATCCCTCTTTTCAAGAAAGTAAACACACGGTAACGAATATTATTTTTAATATAAATGTGGGCGGTGGGGTAGCCTAGTGGTTAAGGCGTTCGCTCGTCACGCCAAAAACGTTCGATTTCCTACATGTTGCCCCCGCCGTGATATTGCTGGAATATTGCTAAAAGCGTGATAAAACTAAATTCACTCACTCTAATATGTTTGGAGTGCTGTACGAGCCTTCTGCTTCCTCACAGGGTCAGTAGGTAATGTCGACCAAACGGTTCATGTAGAGTTGGTTTTCACGACCGAAATCACTCTTAGTCACAAAGGACCAGTGAAGATCCGGTTTGGATTCAATCCCATCTACAGGAATATATAACATTCGTCAAATAAAATATGAAAACTCACACATGAAGTCCGAACTTAAGTGGTGATTACAAAATCCATGCTCAGTGAATGGAATTACCTGTCACGATTTCGCAACTGTTGCCACATGAAATATTCATTAGCCATCTGTTAGTGAAAAAATAGTAGTCACTTTACAAGTCAACAGAGTACTAAACCAGGTACTTTTCTTTGCAAAGAGACATATCTATTTACCGTATTTCCTCTAATAAGCGGACCCCCTGAGCTTATTTTTTCAACGGACCTCCAGACCCGGCGCTTATTAGAGGCCCGGCGCTTATTAAAATACCCTGTATTTTTAAAAGCGGGGATGAGTACATGAAGTTATGATTTACGGGATCATTCCTTAATATATTTATTTTTAGACCAAGGGAGAATACATTTGGGAAAAAATGCAAAGGTCTATACCCGGCGCTTATTAGAGACCGGCGGTTATTTCTTTAAACACTGCTTTATCCCCGGCGGTTATTAGAAGCCCGGCGCTTAATAGAGACCCGGCGCTTAATAGATTAAATACGGTATGTACCGTACACAACCAGTTACACAAAGTGCTACACTGTGTTAAGCAAACATTAGAGGGAGGTTGGACAATTAATTGCTTTTTTGCCCAAGTGTGACTCAGATAATAAGACAATATTCTGTATGGGCCCAAGTGAACATCAGAGAGGGTAGACAAGGTACTACTTTTTGCCCAAGTGTGACTCAGACATTAAGTTGATATGCTGTTTGAATCCCAGTCTTGAGGTTAGACTGTGTATTACATTTTGCTCAAGTGTGACTCAGAAATTCAGACATTATAAGCCCAAGTAAACGTCAGTAAGGCTAGACAACGTGTTACTTTTAGCAAATGTACCGCAAAAAGGCCTGTCTCAAAGATTAACCATAATCTTGGATACTCTCAAGGAAGGACTTTAACAGAAAATATTTGAGACAGGCGGAATTAGTACAATGTAGATTCTCAAAATGTCATAGGATTTGCTTACATTTTTAGAATCGCACATTTGATTTTTGAACATTTTATGCCACAATTCCTCATGACAAACCTAAGAATAAACTTCATTCCTTGATCCATGTGACATTTGTAAACAAATGTGTTGAACACAGATATACCTACATATCTATCTTCAGAGGTTCAGGACAATTTGTCAAAAATAAAAGCAAATGCCATGTGAAGTTTACCGAGAAAACAATATGAGAAATGCTGCCTTTCTCATTGATAACCTTTTTTGTTAAATTTGGGGGTAAAACATTTCACCAAGAAGTAGTCATCGCCATGGGCACCAATTGTGCCCCCTCCTGGTGGATCTGTTTCTTCATGCATGTGAATCAGAATTTCTGTATCGGTTGGCAAAACAAGGTAATTTGGCCAAGAAGTTTAACTTAAGCTTCCGGTACATCGATGATTTAATATCATTCAATAACCATCAAATAGCCAGTTGCCTTCCACTGATTTACCTACCTAAAATGGCAAAACAAGGTAATTTGGCCAAGAAGTTTAACTTAAGCTTCCGGTACATCGATGATCTAATATCGTTCAATAACCATCAAATAGCCAATTGCCTTCCACTGATTAACCTACCTGAACTTGAAATTAAGGTGAGTGATTTTAGTTTTACGCCGCATTCAGCAATATTTCAGCTATATGGCGGCGGTCTGTAAATAATCGAATCTGGACAGACAATCCAGTGATCAACAGCATGAACATCGATCTGCGCAATTGGGATACGATGACATGTGTCAACCTGACCACCCGATCCCGTTAGTCGCCTCTTACGACACGCATGGGTTACTGAAGATAATTCTAACCCGGATCTTCACGGGTATTGAAATTAAGGAGGCAAGTGAGACCGCCTCAACTGTTTCACATTTAGATCTATACATAAAGATTCAGAGTGACAAAAAACACTCCGTTAAATAAGGCCGTATGACAAAAAGGATGGTTACAACTTTCCAATAATCAACTTTGATGTCGAGCAAAATTCCATCAGCACCAGCCATTGGTGTTTACATTTCTCAACTTTTGAGGTACCATCGAACGTGCTCTTTTTATCAGGATTTCAAAGGGCGTCGTACCACTCTTTCTCAGAAGTTGTTTGATCAAGGTTACAACATCCAAAGCCTCAGTAAAGCTTTCAAGAAGTTTTATTGTAGACATGTGGAGGAAATTTAAAAACTTGAGGCATCAGTGACAAAAATGATGCCAGATGCAATTCCCTATTTGGACTTATACACGTTCCCGAATTATTTCAGATGAACGATTGACTACAGCAGACTTTGCATATGTTTATGACGGGTGCCACCGGTGGGTCAGGATACGCTCACCTTTTTGCGAACACCTCGTATCATCACTATTTCCTGGTAATTCATAAACACGTGCTCTGGAGTGTCTGGTCCAGACTCGATTTGTCTACAAACAACACCGTGCAGCTGTAATACTGCTGAAACAAATATATAATCATGATTAAGTCACAATTGTACAGTGGACTCCGCTTTTAGTAGAGATTTCTTCTGGATGTGGAAAGGGTTTTGTCGCTTCTCAGACATTTAGACAATATACTGTTTGAGCCCATGTGAACATGAGAGATATTAGAGAATGTATTACTTTTGTCTTAGTGGGATTCGGACATTTAGACAATACACTTTTCGAGCCCAAGTGAACATGAGAGATATTAGAGAATGTATTACTTTTGTCTTAGTGGGATTCGGACATTTAGACAATACACTTTTTGAGCCCAAGTGAACATGAGAGATATTAGAGAATGTATTACTTTTGTCTTAGTGGGATTCAGACATTTAGACAATACACTTTTTGAGCCCAAGTGAACATGAGAGATATTAGAGAATGTATTACTTTTGTCTTAGTGGGATTCAGACATTTAGACAATACACTGTTTGATCCCAAGTGAACATCAGAGATATTAGAGAATGTATTACTTTTGTCTTAGTGGGATTCAGGCATTTAGACAATACACTGTTTGATCCCAAGTGAACATCAGAGATATTAGAGAATGTATTACTTTTGTCCAAGTGTGGTCCTGGATACATTATTATTATAGGATATTTATACAGCGCACATGTCCACGCAACTTCAAGGAGCTGTACTATAGACCTGTTTACCTTTGCGAGCAGGATGCAGCCGCCCACTTTACACACACACACATCCCAGAGCCAGTCGTGTCCTGTTCAACTCAGGCAATAAACAGGATCTTCTAAAGTAAGAACATGCATGGGTTTACGGATCTAGCCAACTATAAATAGCTGCCACCACACAAGTTCTTCACTCCAGCCCTGGACCAGACACAGAAGACATCACGGTCATCTACAACTCTAGGTAATATTGATCTTTCCGTTTGCTTTGTTAAGACATTGGAGAATTTTGCCTGTGGTGCGAGCTTATTAATATACTGGTTTTAAGATGACAAATTGTGTCGTGTATTTACGATCGTCTTTGCTTGTTATATTAAATTTTCATATTAAAAATTCGGTAATTTAGCGATATGAGGACATTGTTGGATGCTTGACAGACGCAATATCAGAAGCTAAACTGTCATACAGAGCACTTCTTGTTATGTCAATACAATACAAGGTTGAGAAAAGCGGTAAGCATACACTCCAAAACGTCGTGTTATTCACAATAAGAAGTTGACATCCATAAATCTTGCTTTTCTTATGCATAATGCCATTCCACTTCTAAATGCCCTTCAAAGATTTAATACAAGATTGGATAGGCAAAAAACCATCATACTATTTAATATAGAAAAAGTACGTATCAGCCTTATCGCTGATAAATACGTGAACTGTCTATGTTGTACAAGTCAGACCTTTACGTAATTTATGTAACTGCGAAAATCCTGAAAATTACCGCCATAGTCCACATTATGCAGATACTAGGAACTGTCCTTTGGCCCCCATCTCTTGTCGTAGATGTGTTTATGGGTAAATACCTCGTGATCCGTGGAAATATTTTCAAATATTTGATCTTTTAGTATCACGGCTTCATTACTTCGTTTAATTTATGCATATCCTTTCAGGTTTGGAACCCTAACAACAAGCTGCAGGAACAATGGTATGTTAATTATTAAGTTTTTCGTTTAGTTTACAAGCAATAAGACAAGCTGACCCACCAATTACAATAATGTCAGTTATGTAAAAAAAAAGGGTCTGCCATATGATATTGCTTGTTTATGGTCTGGTGACTGATGGGTGGTCGCGGGTGGTGGGCAGCAATCGACCAAAAGGATTGTGATATTTTTTAAATAGTAATTTTCTTCTAGAAAACACTGCAACAAAGTAAGTAAAATGCACGTGCCGTATGCCCCCCTCCCCCGGCCCCCGAAAATATTTTTATGAAAACAAATCGTTTGCCACGTTCTTCTGAACAAATAATGTTTTCAAGTGGATTGTGAAATCCGATTGTATGTCTATCTAAGATCCCAGTCACTTGAAGCGCGAAGTCAAGTTATATCACGTTCTTAGCATTATTTTAAGTTTAATAGCAATTGTTATTATTTCTAAACGTATATCTCATGTAAAATACATCCATTTAACTACATGTTTGAAAGTGGCTAAAATGACACAAACACGAAATCAGTGTTCCATGATGCTAAACGCTTGTCGTAGATGTGTCTGTTACATTGTGTTATCGGTGTTTTGGCGACAGATTTTGGCATAGTAACGTTTTCTTAACATTTTAATGTTTTTGCATATCCAATCTTCGCATGTTTACTTTCCTGTACCTAGCAGTTTTTTATGTTGGAACGTCACAGTGTTTATTATATAAGAAAATGTTGCAGGCAAGCTGGTGCGCCTGTCCCAAAGTGACGCTCTACGAGAAACCCAATTTTTGCGGTACATATCTTCAAATCTTCGGGGATGTTCCAGATTTAAGATGTTTAGACAACGCGGTTTCCTCGGCCATTGTACACGAGGGAAAGTAAGTACAGATGTACTCAATGTAAATGACATCCTCCTCTCCCGAAGGATTTAATGTTTTATTCGGAAAAATGCCTTCCCTCCTTTTCTCTGAATATCTTGTATTAGACCCAGTGTTTCTAAAGAGTCTTTCTTTTTTAATTTTGTGACTGACTAAGTGTTTTATGTTCTTTAAAGAAGAAACATCTTCATTTTGGTTGAAACATATGTATTTTCTGTAACTTGTACACTCCAGTTATACAGAAAAATCACAAATGAAAGTAGTACAATCAGGAAATAGATAGTAGATACTAGAGGTGAGGAGAAATTGGGTTTAACGTCGTTCTTGAGAATATTTCGCTCATATGACATCGTGCATGCGTGTGTATATGTATGTGCGGCTGCGTGTACTAGACCAGACTTAAGCTGGTTTTATAGTGCTAGCCCACTGAGATACCATGCCGCAGTGAAGCATGAATAACCCACTCAGACACATTATACTGACTCCGAGCCGACCAGTCCTTGTTGTGCCCATTAATGCCGAGCGCCAGGCAGGGACCAACAAGTGCCATATTTAACGTCTTTTGGTATGACGCGGTCGGGGATCGAACCCGCGACCTTCCTCTCTCCGGGCGGACGCTCTTACCACTACACCACGGAGGCGGTCAGTAGATACTAGATAATGGACAATATCAGTCTATGTGTTTGAAGTGAGTATGGTATGAGGAATAAGCTACATATTCATATATAATAGTGTTCAATTTCAGATTGTTTCTGTTTAATAAAATGATCATGAAAGATGCCAAAATCTTTTGATTAACGCATTCGGTCTCTGAGGAATTTCCATATTGTGAGGTTAAATCACATGGTAAAGAAGTATGAATTTGATCTAGGGATGCTATAGTTAGGACATATGAAGAAGTAATGTGCAGTATCCTGGCATATCTAACCGCAGGAACAAGAAGGGTCATCAAACATGTGTCTGTCATGAGTCGAGAGTGAAAGATTTTCATTTTCTTAAACATCCATCTACAGTATATTAACCATTATATTTTTTCAAAAATGAAAAGCACTAAATGAAATTACAATTTCATAATTTCAAAGTATGTCCAGTGTGCGTTTTGTATTTCCTTGGTGACCCAAAAGTCTCCTTATTCATTCTCAAAAAAAGATGAAAACCAGGTTGAAAAGCCCCAAAACCTAACGCTGTGATAATCAAAGCAGATGTGTCCAGTTTTTGGTTTCTTCTAATCTGTTTTGTCAGTCACCAAATGGAGAAAATTGATCAGCACATGTAAAATTTGTAGATCATTTGAGATTCTTGTCTTTTCTAGTATTGTCTATATCGCAGGAACGACAAAGTCCATTCTGGCTGATTTTATTGAGTGAAAGACCTGTAAATCACAACATGTTACAGTTGTTGCCTAACATGGTGTGTCTCTACACAGACAATATAAATGTTGATTAATTATTAAATGCTCAAAATATATTCTATGGAATTAATTGTATTGTAAACAATTAATTATATCACTGGCAATTTCCTGATAACATTGTTTAATATTATCTTGAACATACTTCATACCTGAGAAATAAATGCCTTTCGCATAATTAAATAAAACAATCATTATGATTCCAATTTCAAAACATACCTTTGGATCACAACAACATGGTATAGTTGATGCCTGACATTGTATGTGCTGGGCTCCTGGCACATGTATATAGTTTTTATAGAGAGCAGTCATGTGACCTGCATCTGCAACATTTGCAGGGACTGCATGTGCCAAGGACCAGGATGTTCCTGTCAGAGCACAATTGCAAGTAAGGTGGGCTGTTTACACCAACATCAGTGAGAGTGCTGGAAAGTATGGTGCAGTGTTAGTGACAAACAGATTTTAGCCTGTGACACTTATATGATAGTTCAAATTCACTCATCCTATCATCATTTTATTAACGGCTAATTTTTTTATTGAGATTGGAAACGCACCGAATTGATAGGTTTTTTTTCATGTTTTGATGTTTTTGCTTTTAGTTGGGCCCTTTACGACAAACAATATTGCGGGCAACGGATGATCCTATGTGAAGGACACAGCTACTGCACCCTTCAATGCATGAATAACAGAGCATCCTCCATCAAGGCAGTGTGTTATTGGTATGTATCTTTGTCGTTTATAAGAAAGTTTTTGAAGACATCCTCGCTGCATTCAGTGGCTACCATCTACTTTTAGGTGATTTATATTGTTCCCTGTTGTGATATCATTTTATGATTACATGCTAGTTTTAAATGTTCATCTGTGATAGTATAGCTTAATAATGTCCTTCGTTGTCAGGTACTTATGTTGACGACTTTCACGATATGGCCGAAATACTGCCGTTGTGACTGTAAATTGTAACTGACTTAAATTACTCTCTCAATGGCTACCACGATGGCCTTGTGAGATGATTGAGAGGTCGACTATCTGACATCCGGCGTGAGTTCGGAAGGATCTGGGATATATTTTGGACAAAGATAATGTGTTCACAAATTTGCTGTGAAACTATAATTTGTTCTTATGGTTAACCAAGGAATTAAAACGTTCCAAAATGAACACATCTTGTGAAATGATAAATGTAATGGCTTTTGGGTCTGAAAAAGGTTGGGGTCCGCCGTTCAGGGAAATGAACTACAGGTTAGACATTGAAGCACCGTCTCAAACAAGAATAACCCTAGGGAATTTCGTGAAATCTGCTAGCGAGATGATGTTTCTAGCGTTCCAGTCCTGATGATATGAATACAACAGTGACTTGTGACGTCTTAGATGAATAGGCTTCCCCTACATCCTGTTCAGAAATAATTCATATGTCAAATTATTTTCATATCTCGATACAGATGAAGACAACACGAAGCAACAGGCAGCTCTATCATTGATGGAAGACTCGCCGATATGACAACAAATTGTTTACTATTCTCCTAAGCACGTACACTTTAACCTGACGATACCTTCATTCTCTACATATCAGTCAACAAAGGCTGTATTATAACCTCCCTGTATTTGCATAACCTTGCAGAATGTTCTGTTGATGCAACTGCAATTAAAAAGAATTTCAAACTGTATAAAATGAAGGATTGTACAGATTTGACGGCAAATGCCCTTTTTATAGCTCATGCTACAAAACTGTACTCCCACCCTGTAGGTATGTTTAAATTATAGCGGCTTTTTAGATGCCCATCTTAAAAGCAAGGAGTGTAAAAATGGGCGTTGTTAAACCTTTTACAATTAACTGAACAGTAAAATGAACAAATCTGTTAATGCTTGGATGTAAAGTATCGAGTTGTTGCTTTAATCGTTAATAAAAGATTGAAACTCAGTCTAGCTGTTTTCTTCAGTTTATTAACCAGTTGCATCGTATAGCGTTGTTACCAAACTGGTTAGAAACCAACCATTCATTCATTCATTCCGTTTGAATTGGAATCGGGGGGACACACCGATGGTGGACTTTGCTGCAATCTCATTGGTTGAAAAACATTACTTCATGGGATCGGATACCGCACATTTCAGAATACTATATAAATATCTTTTTTTCGTGATGCCAAATTTGTGCTTTTTAGCTTGGCGAAATGGATATGACACTGATAACATACCAAGTTTTTTCAAATGTATTGTTTATCAAGGTATTGTTTGGTGAACAAATACTAGTAAAGCCGGTCATCATAAATATAAAAGCATCATCTCCCCAAAATGCAGGGAGCATGACATTCACAACTGGTGATAGCACTCCAGTCCATACTGAAAATTATTTTGAACCAAAACCTAACGCTGCAACACAACCTCCGCACTGTTGCAACGGACCATGCAGCTCCTTTGTCCCCCGTAGTAGAGGCTGGGTCTTTCCGGATTTTTCACACTTTGGTTGTAGAACGACAAGTCCTTCTGAGGCTTCATTACAGTAAATCCACAGTAAAAATTGTAATACTCTTCACTTGTGCTTTCATGCGGTATTGCATTATTTCTGGTCAGATTTGAAATGAAAGGGTTATTGACCACACCAAAGACACCTTTGAGTAAATGAACAAACCGTATTTAGCAATATTCCAGCAATATCACGGCGGGGGACACCAGTAATAGGCATCACACGTTGTACCCTTGTGGGGAATCGAACCCGGGTTTCAGCGTGACGAGCAAACGCTTTAACCACTAAGCTACTCCATACCCCACCTTTGAACCATTCTTATTATTTATTTCTTTGATGTTAACGACGCTCTCAATATTACGCTTATTTGAAGGCGATATGTAGATCATTGGGTCTGGACGAGACAATCCAGCATGAGATATTATGGTTATGAGCAAAGGTCGGGTTGACCTCGCCTGACTGTCTGAGACCATATGAAGGGGTCACATCCAGCTCGAAATCTCAAGGGGGTCATTAATACCGAATGACAGTTAACATCAGTAATGTAACAGTAGTACCTCGTTTATTTCTCACTGTGCAGAGTTGTCTACCTTTGGTGTGCTAGGTGAGGTGAAGTGAAATTGGGTTTAACGTCGTGCTTGAGAAGGTTTCGCATGATTGCTCATGGAATGAACACATTAACGACTGTGCTAAAAAAGCTGCACCAATGGTGAATTGTCTAAGAAGTCTCAAATATCGTTTTAACCGAAAAACATTAGAAACATGTACAAACAGTTAATATTACCAGTTTTTGATTATTGCAGTCATATATGGGATAATTGTACTAAACAGCAAGTAGATATAATTGAAAAGCTCAATCTTGATGCTCTAAGAACCGTGTGTGGTGCTGTTCGTGGTACCAGCCATCATAAAATCTACAAAGAAACTAATTATCAGCCGTTGTGTCGTAGAGGGTACCTTCATGAAATGACCATGTTTTACAAAATGGTTAATAACACTACGCCAAGTTACCTTAGTAACCTTGTTCCGCCTAGAGTACTAGATAGTGTTGGCTATAATCTGCGCGGTGATTCAAATCTTCGGACTATAAACTGTAAATCTGTAAATTATGTGAGGTCCTTTCTTCACTGTTAAATTATGGAATTCATTACCGGCTGAACATAGAGAATCACCGTGCCTATCGAGACTAAAAAATGTACTTTTAATTGATCCTAATATCTACAGTCATTTTGACTTAAAGTTCTGAAGCAGAATTTGCCAAATCATACATTCTCGTCTCCGACTTGAATGTAGTGACTGTTGATAACAAACTAGAATTATTGTTTCTTCATTTATTCTTATTCTTGAGTCTAAGTTTCAAACATTACATTGACTGTAACAGAATGGAAAAAATATAATTAAGAATATGGCCAACCTGTTCCCTAAAGTTACACATCTACGACATAGTGACAAACATTTGGACAATGTAAATTGTAGTACAAACAAACTTGAAAACTTTCACAATACCATGTGCAAAACCAGTATCTTAATTACATTGAATAAACAGCAAGCTTAATATTTCAAACATTTTTCATACCAACTTTAGGCCAAAAGAATACTTGTGAATAAATTTTGAAGTCAAATTCAATTTCCACAAGTCAAGTCTAAAATAGCTATAAAGCCTAAATTATGAAAAATTATCTTATTATGTTTGGTACAAGTTAAGAAAATGCATTAAATTCTTCCAAATGAATTGTAAAATAAGTGAATAACATTTGGCTTACCATTACTTGAGACCCTCATGAGTCCTGCCTGTGTCACATGTGCTTGCAGCACATGGTCATTCTGCCCCCAAGAAATTATCTCCCCTCATCTTAAGGTTGACATAAAATGAGCACTTCTTAAAAAATGAAATGTGGCATTCAAAAACACTATGAAATAGAAATAAACATTTTATCCATTACTACTAATTAATGTTGCAGAATACTAGTGCAATATGAAATGGTAACATTGTGGAAATATTATTAACTAAAATGTTTACTTCCTAAACCAACTGAGTCATTATAAGTGAAATAAATGAAAATCATTATTTTGACCTTTACAGTGACCTTAATGCGCACAAATATGAAAGATATATCCAACATCATCTTGCTCTTGTGGCCACAACTATGAAGACTCTGCTGGTTATTTCTTCTCATGTACTCTTTACAAAGATACACGTCAAATTATGTATTTTTATACTAAAGGATTTGACCTAAAATCAATTTTGTTTGGAAACCAAAGCTGTTCCTCGATAGTTCCATTGAGATACCATGCCGCAGTGAAGCATGAATACTTCACTCAGACACATTATACTGACTCCGAGCCGACCAGTCCTTGTTGTACTCATTAATGCCGAGCGCCAGGCAGGGACCAACAAGTTCCATATTTAAAAGTCTTTTGGTATTACGCGGCCGGTGATCGAACCCTCGACCTTCCGCTCTCCGGACGCTCTAACCACTACACCGCGGTGTTCAAAAGTGTTCACTCGGAACCCAAGTTAGAAACGGGGCCATGTCGGGGTGTCTTAATTACATCACTCTTACGGATAGAATTACTGCCTTGCCTGTATCATTAGTCTGTACTGAGGGAAATAGATAAGGTACCAAAGATAGTAATGGTGTTTCTTTATTCTTTTCCATGTTTCCTTGCAAGCTTTGTATTGCACTGTGGGTGAAAATCTGCGATTAAATAAAGGAACATTGAAATCAAGTGGTGTTCCCTTATTTGTTTACCTCAGTATATACCATACATGATGTTACCTGTGTCCCTAAGCGAAGTTATCGCTGCAGTAGTTCAACATAATAACAACCTGTTCCTGACTGGATCGGGCAGACTAGTGGTTGATATCACTAGTAGTGGCTGACCACCATGTTCATCAGATACATACTAGTAGATAATTAAAAGGTTAATGGGGTCCATTTACACCTTGCCCATCACAAAGGTTTGCTAAGATTCTAAACTTTTATAAAGTAATAAAGCTCCCACACGCCTTAGTACAATCAAGCACATGCACTTTTTTCACTTTCCAGCACACTACATACTAACACTGCATATGTTTTCCCCAATGTCAAGCTTCCATTGTAAATTGTACATTGTATTATCTAATAATATGTTTAATTGTATTTAGGGAGAAGGCGATCATAAGTGGTGCACTTGTGTCTAATCCCGTTGTCTTTTGGACAATAAAATATGTTTAAACCAGTACAATCAAGACATTCTGAACATCACTGCGAGTGACATTCCTTGAGCACAACAGTCCAGTCAGTGAGATGTCAGTATTGGGAACTGTAAGTGATTCCACAATCGACTTACGTTGATTTACATATTTTTGGCAATGCAGTAAATAGTGAGCCACATTATCTAGCTGATTACACACTGTCCGATTTGCAGAAATATCTTTATTAATAATATTTAGGTATGCAGCATACCACGATTGTTTCGGGATAACTTTGATTAAGTCACAACGGGCTCGATGCAATAGAGATAGCGTCCTTTTAAGGATGAGGTCCATCTCTGTTGCCGTTTTGTTTGAGCATGGATCTTACTGACGGTGCATAATTCTGCAGAGAGGGCAATATTGTCTCATCCCGTTCTGATCCATCAAAGTTTAATGCACCTTTTGCCAATTTATCAGCTTTTTCATTTCCAAGTAGTCCAACATGAGCGGGTATGCCTGACAATTCAACATCTAAAAGATATTTACTTAATTCATCAAAATGTACATGTCCATCTGTTGTAAGCAAGTGTCACGACAGGGTTGAGATTATTGAAGTTACTCAGAATCTCCGGACGTAAGAGCGTTGAAATGGCTGCCAATTAATTCTACTGTATAATCCCATAATGAGGCACACATCATGTTTGGGGACCTGTTATTCCTTTGAAATCAGGACTGGGCACAGTGGCTGAACCCTTCTTTACTGTCCGCCTAATCAACCAGGACAAACACATCTAACCATCCACCCCTTATTTTAGTTAGTTTAGTTTTACGCCGCATTCAGCAATATTCCAGCTATATGGCGGCGATCTGTAAACAATCGAATCTGGACCAGACGAAAGTGATCAACCGCATGAGCATCGAGAACGCAATTGGCATACGATGACATGTGTAAACCAAGTCAGCGAGCCTGACCACCCGATCCCGTTTGTCGCCTCTAACGACTAGCGTGGGTTACTGAAGATCAATTCTAACCCGAATCTTCATAGGCTCTTTCTTTTAGTGCCAAACATTGGATACTGGGACTAGAACTAGAAACAATGCATGAGTGAGTGAATCGGGTTCATCGCCGCTTGTAACATTGTTCTCGTTATGCCACGGCGGGTCGGTATACAAGGGAAATTAACAATGCTTGTGTAAATGAATGAGTCGGGTTCATAGGCGGCAGTTAAAACCTTGGGCGTAATCCACGTTGGTGAAATGCACGTGCACGGATATGG